TATATATATATATATATCAAAGCGGAACTCCCTTCCCTCCATATGAACAGAAAACTAAAGAGAGTCCACAATATAATGCTGGGTCGTGTCCCGGCGTATACGAAAGTTAGCGACGATCGCATGCAATCTGTTTAGACCCACTCGATCCAAAGATGTTGAAATTAAACTACCGCTACCGAAAAATGGGGCTTTGCTAACTTATTATGCTGTGCCCAGACATCGTACGATATCTGTTTTCGAGCTTCTACCACGTTTCCAGGTACTACAGGTCAGATCACGTCGACGCTAAAGAACGCTTTTGTTTCAAAATCGAACTTTACGCGATCGAACTGCTTTGCAATGGATATGTAGATAATACAAAGTTACTACTTTTCTATTAGGTAAAAGCGCTAAGTGCGTTAATGCTTTTAGCGTGTGATAGTCATATATAGAATTCCATATACAATCGTTTCATTCTAAGATCATAGAAACGCGCTTGTAATAGCAAAACAATGTAACTCTATCTACAAGGGCTCATTTGGTTGTATTTCGAAATTGAAAATAGGCGCCAAAAGCCTACAGATGATATCGTGGATTATATGAAGCTCGTATCTCGATAGCAATGAAGCTTTAGCAGAACCATAAGCCAAGTTTGTTATGAATTCTGGGTAGTAAAAGATAATATGTTTATTGTCGTGCTTTCACACAATAGGGCACGCTTCAGGTTAGTCACAAGCGACAACAACAATATGTCGGAAGGATGAGCCAGGTAAGTATATATGAGGTTTTATTACTAAACCGGCAACGCAACAAAGTTCTTTTTTTTCGGCATTTTATTCTAGAGAACAAACTGCCAATTTCACAATATGCACTTTGGATAGCTTGCATTTCGGACGGTGTGAATTCTGCTATTTAGCCTGCTGGTTAGAGATATATAGGCATTGGAAGGTCCTCAAAAGAAGTACTAATGGAAAGATATATGGAAATCTTAAACAATCACAGCTCAGGAGTCAACTTTTCTGCTTATGTGCGGGAACGTGTTCTTCTCGACCGAAATAAATTGACTGACAACTTTACAGCGTCGCATCTATTGAGCGCAAACTTACCTTACGAATTGAACAGCCCGTTATCTAAGCCAAACGACGTAGGATCTTTTGAACCTGGGTTATGTTATTGTTTTCCCAGTAAACGAAACAAGGACGAAACAGGAAGCGTCTGTCAAGACGCTTCCTGAGAGCGTTTTCGTAGCGCGCATGGTGACTCGTCTAGAAAGACATTGTATCAGCTGGTGAACTTGTTCTATTGTAGACACAAATTGAATTTCGTAGCTTTTTCGTTTTCCTTTTTTTTTTTTTAAGACACAGTGTTTGTTGTACAGAATAAGGCAACAATTGCTGCCGCGTGGGTTCTCGAATCTTTTTTTGATTAGCGATCAGTCAGCTGGACTAATTTAGCTTGTACTAATTATACTCGTTTTCGTCTTATAACATAAATAAAATTGATAGTTGTTTGAACGATCGTTTATTTAAATACGGTATAATAGTATAAGTACATGTTAATAGCTAAAACAGAATCTGATATAAAGTACTAACCGTTTTATCGATTAGCTTACGTAAAACAGAAAAAGTAGAGGTGGACAATCCTAGATGCATCTAGTTTCCGTCATATCAGAACTGACTGATATTGCTTCTAGGCGGGTAAGCGATATATGCCATTTTGTATGCGTTAAGCAATGGTCATCTACGGGTTAATTTCGTCCTTAATGAAGAATATACTGAAATGTACGTAGCCTAACATGTTATGCGTCCTAGACACGAAATATCTTTTAATGAAATGGTTTTTGTCTGTCGTTAAGGAAAAAGTTTCCGGCTAGCAATACTTCATTTTTGATTTTTGCTGTGATTTGACTTAAGTGTGAGACGATTGAAGCAGGACTACATTATAGCTGGAGATTACCATGAAAATTACTCTATTATCGAACAGATCTGTCGAAAAAAATAAAACTTTTAAAGCACTAAGAGTACGTTCATGCTTTTCTTTCTGGCGGACTAACGATTCCGCAAAAAGATCCTCTTAAGTAATATATGGTTTATATCCTGAGTTAAATAAACCAATATAAACGTCCAGTGGGGCTCCAGCGTTAGTCTATGTACAATAGCAAAACCCAATCAGCGACATCATGGTATTAAATAACTATTAGTTTTTTCTGTTCTCTGTTTTTATGTATACGTTTCTTTTCTAGTGGCTTGGGCGTTTCTACTATAGTGTAAACAGGTCCTCAGAATTGACTTTTTACTGTACCATCAAAGACTACCTTCACTGAAAACTCTAGCGGGGTGCGCCTATCTAAGATTTCCCTAATAGATCTATGAGAACCACATGGGAGACCATTTATAAATACTCACATTTGAACCCGTAATGGCTATACATCTGTGGTCTCTATGGCAACTATTAGTAATTATTACGGGATCAGTGTGTGTAAATGTGATATGTAAACGATCAAATCTAGCTTTGAAACCAGTTTTGCACTTAACCGATCTAAACTGGCCATGGTAAAGATCGCATTTGTTCGCTCGTCCTAAGCGTCCATAATAGCGACTTTTGAAATAACATTACTACGACCGCTACGATGAACTCAGCGGACGCTGTTGAACGTTGTGCTTTTTACGCTCGAAAGAACCAGCTCATTCTTGTTCCCGTAACAAGTTCTGTTTACTGACGGCGTGTCAAGAGCTCCTAGCGGTTTTGGTAGCGATCGTGTGTACTCCATGATGACAATACCCTGTACTTCCTACTTTCGTTTGACTTCCAAAGCGTTTTCTACCACTGTTGCCATCATTATATTACAAGCCCTTACAACGACGTACCACAGACCTACAATAACGACAGCAAAAAATTCTACAAGTTTGGCCTTCTTGGCCCATCAGTGGCACATTAAATCCTTTCTCCCGATTCCTTTTCAAAATTCCTACTGCCAACGAATGCACAGCCGTTGAAGAGTTGTTTGGCTGACTTAAATAAAGGGTCCTATTTCGAATGTCACCTACATTGCACGCCTTCGAGCGTTCCAATTACCGTATACTGCGCCATCGTCTGTCTCTCCCGGGTAGGATAGCTG